TAAAGGTTTCAAATCTTCAGGTTTAATTCTCACTTGATAGGAAAAATAAAATATTACCATTTACATACTATCTATTTCATCTGTTATTGTCACTGTTTTTTTAAAAAAAATTATGCTACTGTGGTATTTCATTATTTATTTCTTGCTAACATAGGGAGGTGGTGGCTCAGTGGCTAAGATGCTGAGCTTGTTGATCAGAAAGGTTGGCAGTTCGGTGGTTCAAATTCCTGGCACCATGTAATGACTGAGCTCCCATTACTTGTCCCAGCTTCTACCAATCTAGTAGTTCGAAAGCATGTAAAAATGCAAGTAGAAAAATAGGGACCACCTTTGGTAGGAAGGTAACAGAGTTCTGTGTGCTTTTGGCATTTAGTCATGGCAGCCATGTGACCACCGATACCTCTTCGGACAGCATTGGCTCTTTGGATTTGAAACAGAGATGAGCACGCCCCCTAGAGTCAGGAATGACAAGCACATATGTGCCAGAGGAACCTTTACCTTTACCTTTTATTGAGTATGACTATCCAACCTTTTGGATGCCTAGGGCATATTAAGTGAAGAGCAATTGTCTTGGGATGCATATAGTATATATATTATGGTTACTGTTTATAAATAATGAGCTTCCTTTATTTCTTATATTTTTATTATATCTGTGGGGCTGCATGCAGCCATGGGCAATGGGTTAAATATTCCTGCTATAGAGGATATACTCTACAGGATAGACACAGGAAAGAAATATCCCAATACATTATAAGAGAACAGGCAGAAATGCATTCAGAGATTCTCAAATCAGTCTGAAAATATGGAAGACAGACTTCCATATAGATCATTCCTTGAAAAGTGAGACAAATGCATATGTATTTGAATCCATTTTAAATATTTTTTTTTATAAAAATTTCCACCAAGCATAAAAGGTCCATCAACTGACATTAACTGGGAGACAAACTGTGCACCAAGTGAAAGAGCAAACAGATCCCTGACAAACTTAGCAGACAACTTTGTCTCCCAAAAAGCGACACGGCCGGTGCAGGCGTTACTGGAAGTTACTCACTTCCAGATCCACTGACCAACCAGTTCGCGCGGACCGGAGCGGACTGGTAGAAACCTACCACTGATCTTGACAGACTAGAATATTGGGCACTATCAAACAAAATGAAATTCAATGGTGAAAAAAGTAAGGTTCTACACTTAAGCAAGAAAAGTATAGTATAGGTGGTACCTGGTTCAATAGTAGTAACTGTAAGTGGGATCTTGAACTCCTAGTGGACAATCTCTTTAAAAAGCCAGCACACTTCTTGGCTGAAATAACAGAATCAAGATCATGTCAAGTGATAATACCACTTTATAACGCCTTGGTAAGACCACACATGGAATGTTGCCTCCAGTTTTGGTCACCACAATGTACCTTTGGGACACCCATGACCTGGTTGTCTCCATAGACTTCATTTGGGGTATGAACTCCCAATATCAAAGTCTTAATACTTGTGGATTGATTTTCATCCCAACATATCTGCAATATACTTGAGATTTAATAGAATTGATATGTTATGCATTCAATTGTCTGGGCAGCTGCATCTGGTGGCCTGAGATGGCAGGCCCTTTCTGCTCTATGGTCCACATTGTGGTGCCTCTCAAGCAAGCCAGCCTTGCATTATTAAATTTTGGTTTTTATATTGGAGTTTGCCATCAATATTAGTATTTTCTCTATCTTTAAAAAAGAAAGTTGCCAATTAGGCGGTGGGGGTGTGTGATCTTTCTGGACTCAACAGACCGACTTCTGAACAACAGACATAAATCATGATGAAAAGGACCCAGATTCAGCTGGTGCCCAACAGCAGCTTCATCTTGTAGAAGTGGTCTTGGCCACTTATAAGTAAATCACCTGGACACGTTACAGCTATGTTTGCTATATAAGGATGCATTTAAAGACTACGATACAGCTTATTCGGAATGCATCAAGGTTGGTCTTAATGGATGCTGTGTCAAACTCAAGGCTGGCCTGTTGGCTGGCCTGGAAATATAAAAGGGCCAGCCCATGTGGTCCTTGCCAGCCAAAACGGGCAGCAGGGGGGCTGCATCCATCCCCAATGGGGACAATTTCTCCTCCTCCTGCAGCACTCTGCCAGGCAAAAAAGGGCTACATGGAGGTTTCACATGGCCTCTGTGTGGCCCATTTTCAGCCAGGAAAGTGCTGCAGGAGGCCATGGAGGCCCAAAATGAGCTGCACAGGAGGTTTGGGAGGGCCTTCACATTGCCCATTTTTTGGCTGGCAGAGTGCTGCTGGAAACCAGGGAGGCTAAAAATGGGCCATGCAAGGGCCTCAAGGGGCATCCACGCAGCCCATTTTTGGCTGGCAGAGTGCTGCTGGAAACCAGGGAGGCTAAAAATGGGCCATGCAAGGGCCTCAAGGGGCATCCACGCAGCCCATTTTTGGCTGGCAGAGTGCTGCTGGAAACCAGGGAGGCTAAAAATGGGCTTTCCGGGGCATTTGCAGGGCCTGTTGCAGGAGGCCATGGAGGTCGAAACAAGGCAGTGGGCCATCTAGGCTGAAAACAGGGCATGGGGGGGGCTGTGTGCAGGCCAGCTGCACCTGGTTTGGCCAGCAGAATATTGCAGGAGGCATCTGTCCTGTCACCCCCCTGCTCCCTGCTCCTCCGGCCTGCAGAGGAGAACTACAATGCTGATGCTGCCCCCAAAGAAATCCAGTTTGACACCCCTGCTGTACAACCATCTATCCATAGCTGGCTTGTCAATTTGCGCATTGATTTGTTTTTGAGAACTTGAAACAAATCATGTTGTTTACATAATTGAAAAGATTAATACTAGAGAGAGCTTTCCCCCTCCTTATCATTTAGCTGTTCAATTTTGATTCCTTTTTGTAGGGAAGGTGGGCAGTTAGAAAAGCTTCAAGATGAAATTATGAAATAGAAAAGAAACCAAAAACAAACAGGCGGATGCTTATTTTATTTGGAAGAAGTCTGAAAGAGGAAATATAAAAATGAACTACTGACTTTTGTGCAACCAATAACAATGGGATGGGATACTGGTGGCGAACCTATGACATGTGGCTTGCAGAGGCCTCTCTGCCGGCACATGAAACATCGCCCCAGCTCAGCTCCAATGGACATGCGCGCGTGCCTCCCACCAGCCAACTGATTTTCGGGTCTCTGCCATGCATGTGGGGAGATGAGTGTGGATGCGTGAGGGGGGCAGGAGTCACATGTGCATGTGTGAAGGTCATGCGGGAAGGTGCGGTGCGGGCCCCCACATGCCCCAGGGAGGCCTGCTAGGCACAAAACGGGGTGCGGGAGGTTGTACACACATGTGTTGGGGGAGGCATGTGCAGGGGGAGGGTCACATGCGCATTGCATTATGGTTGTGGGTCGCACATGCTTTTGGCATGCAAGGACAAAAAGGTTAGCCATCACTGGGCTACTGTATTTGTGTCGTGATTTAGCGAAAATGTTTTTGAAACAAATTTATCACCTGCTTAAAATGTTTCACAAACATTTTTGCTAATTTCCTTGCGGACGGCAACTCTGAACAAGCGATGAAGTGCGCCTGCTTGGAAACCAAGTCCATAACTGTCCAAAATTCTAAAAGGAATATAATTGCAGGCCTGACAATTTGAGTCCTACAGCAGTTTCACATCTTTTTAGGGATAATCTAACCTAAATCAGTCTCAAGATTTGGGGTGTAAACTTTGATGGGACTTTTGCTCATAAATAGACATGTATTTAGGGGGAGCGGCATTTCTGTTTTTAACAATTCTCCGGGTTTTTTTTTTCTTCACACGTTATTGTCAGAAGGGGGGGGAAATGTTTTCGGAATGGGTTTTTGGAGTAAAATGAACCCTAAACTTTGGCTTCGTTCTAACTCTTCTGTGAATTAATATCATAAACTTATTAAATAAAAATTTAAAAAATAAGCTGTTTTTTGTTTTAGCATTTGGGATATAACTCCCTTTTTGTCCTTTTACAAAATGTTTATGAATTTTTCATTAGTTAGTGTTCTTCGCTTGCTCTCAATTATTGCAAGCATTTTCATCCTGTGACAGTGGTGGGATTCAAATAATTTAACAACTGGTTCTCTGCCCTAATGACCAGTTGTGTAGGCGGTGGTCAGTGGTCATGTGACTGGGTGGGTGTGACCAACACAATATCACTTATTCTTCACCTTAGCTGTTACAATGTAATCAGGGTTAACCAGAGAGGCAGTTTCTGTAATCAGGGCAATAAAGATTAGGCTAGAAACAACACCAGAATGTTTCCTTCCTGCCTTCCTTACAGGATTAGCCCTGTAAAGTGGAAAAAAACCAAAAGGAGATTTCTTGCAACAACCGGTTCTCCAAACTGCTTAGAAAGTTAACAACCGGTTCTCCCAAATAGGTGAGAAGAGGCTGAATCCCTCCACTGTCCTGTGACCAGGGGTGGTATTTACTTGCCTTCCCTACTGGTTCATAAATGTGAGCATGTATGCTTGTTTGGCTCATACACGCTATATCTGCGCATGCGCTTTGCCTAAAAAAAAGCAGGCCTAAATGGGATGCCATAGAGCCAGTATTCATTTCCACTACCAGTTTGGGCAAAGGGGTCAGAACCGGTAGAATGCCACCTCTGCTTGGGACCCCACACTACAGAATGCTGAAGGTGATCTCTACTAACATAGCAAAAACATGTTTTCTTGCTGAAGACTTCCCCATGACTTTGATTCAGAAATTGTTGCCTCATCTATTGCAATTATCCCTCCCTATATTATTATTATTTCAACATTAACTTTAGGTCCCGAGGGAGTAGCTGAGCTATTATTTCAAGTGGAATTATACTGTACTTCATGAAAAAGAATGTTGAGGTGGACCAATTGGCTTACAAACAAATGCCGTTGTTAAAGGTGATGACATTTGCAGTATTGGTTATTGTGCTTTTACCTCAAATGATATGCAGGATTCGCTGGAGTAAATGCAGCAGCAGTGACCCTCTGCCTTTTCTTCACAAAAAATATCAGTCCGGAAACCTCATTGTTGTGAATATGCTCTCTCAGCTCTATGTCTTCCATACAATGATGGACTTCAGCATGCGTCCCTCTAAGGAGTTCTTTGAGGACACTGTGTAAGAATTTATATATGGAAGTTAATTTAAACTGGAATGTCTTTTCATACCCATATTAGCTTCGGTTCCAATGATTGGCAGCATCTTTGTTGGATAGCATTATCTTCAATCTCCCATTCCTCCTTTTCCATCATTGTCTTCTCCTTCTTGTTCTTTTTATAAGTAGCATTAATAATCTTTGATTGTTACATGATAATTAGAAGAATTAGGCTTTCCCCAAATGTTTGTTTCCATTTGTCATGCATGCTCTGATGGAGGTTCTTTATAGAAAACTTTCTGAAATCCATAATCATTATATGATGATTATATCCTGCAAAGGGGAAGAGATATTCCATTTTTTCCAAATTTTCCAACAATATTATAAAAAGATGAAATGTTAGTACACAAATAAAATTTGCATTACAAAAAGAAATATATAGTACCAAATATTGTGGGAAATGGAGGAGAAAAAGCTAAGCCAAGCTGTATGTTGGGAAGTCATCCCTGGGATTGAAAGAATCTCAATTTTTCAAGGAGAGTTTGATATGTTCATATACTTCTGAAGCTGGAAAGACTGACCTTCCCCACTGAGTGGAACTCTATTCTAAGTAGAAGAATGTGATGTCATGGAGTGGGTAACTTAAATATTTTTCCTGGAAAATGGATGGGTTATGATCTAGTAGTTCTTGTTCAGGCATCCATTGGATTTTGTTTATTGAAGGTTTGTCAACTTTTATTAACACCCTGATCTTTAAAAAATTTTTGGGGAGTCTTCATTTTAAAATAATTTACACAGAGAAGAAAAAGGTTCATGTCCTCCTCTAAATTTATTATTAAACAGCCAAGTTTCCAGATAGCAAATTACTGAAAACTGAAGTATTTACCTTTTATTTTAATTGAGGATTTCTTTTTCAAATGTTGTCATGACAATTATTCACTTCACCTTGTTTCTAGCATTAAAACAATGTCTAGTTGTTACAGTATGTGACATCAGTGTTATAAAAAATTACTTAGTAAAACCTTAAAGATTTTTTAAAATTATTAATTACACAGTTTAATGTAATTTGATTAAATTATAAGCACTCTCTGACATCACAGAAAAAGCTATACTCTTTTTTTGGACAAAGTTCTGTATTTCTACTTTCCATTTCCAAGTTATGTATAGGAAATACTGGGATTAAACTATAATTTTTATCCTCAGGGCATAATAAAAGTTTGGTTTGGGGGAATGCTTATTTGAAATAATTTTTATTTGGTGTACCAATTATCTTAGACTCCCAAATTACTATCAACATTAGAATGCGTTTTGGAGGTTTTAAAGAAAATGGAGTGACTCTTCTCTTCCAGAAGGTATCCGTACCCTTTCACAATAAGTGACTTCAGTTTCTGAAAGTTGAATACTGAAAGATTATTGGGATTAAAATCATTTTCATCACCC